CTTGTTCATTTTAAATAAAACAACCCTTCTCAAATAATTAAAATAGAACCACTCCTCTTCTGGATATGAATGAAGGTGAAGGAAACAAAACACTAACTTGAAAAGATTTCTGCACCCTCATATTCACTGCAGCATTATTTACAATAGCTAAGACATAAAAACAACCTAAGTATCCACTGATGAATGAGTGGATAAAGAAAATATGCTTCATATATACAATGGAATATTATTCAGCCATAAAAAAAAATCCTGCCATTTGCAACATCATGCACAGACCGTGAGGGCATTATTCTGTGACATAAGTCAGACAGAAAAGACATATAGTATATGATATCACTTATATTTGGAATAAAAAACAAATGAACAACTCATAGATACAGAACACACATTGATGACTGCAAGGGTGAAAAAGGATTTGGAGGAGAAATGCATAAAGGAAATCTAAACATACAAACTTCCAGTATAAAATAAATTAGTTCTAGGAATGTAATGTACAGCATGGTGACGATAGTTAACAATACTGTATTGCATATTTTATTTTTTAATCCTCACTTGAGGATATTTTTTTCTTCATTGAATTTTAGAAAGAGGAGAATGGAGGGGAAGAGAGAGGGAAACACATCACATCAATCGGTTGCCTCCCGTACAGGCCCTGGCCAGGGCTGGGGATCAAATCCACAACCGAGGTATATGCCCTTGACCAGGAATCTAACCCACAACCCTTAGTTTCATGGATTGACACTCTAACCACTGAGCAAAACCAGCCAGGGCTGTATTACATGCTTTTTAAGCTGCTAATAAAGTATAGCTTAAAAGTTCTCATCACAAGAAAAAAATATTTAACTATGGGTGGTGATGGATGGCAACTAGACTTACTTGGGTGACCATTTCCTGATATATACAAACATTGAATCATTATGTTGTACATAATGCAATGTTATAGGTCAATTATATATACACTGTTATATGTCAATTATACCTCAATTTTTAAAAAAGCTGTCTGTGTTATATCAGGCACTATTTCCAGGGCCAGGGGCTTTGAGATGAAAGATTCTGATGTTACTGAGCTTGCTTTAATGAGTAAGAGTCAGAAACCCAGGTGACCAGAGCTGTCCCAGAGGTTGATGGTGAGTGTCAGGGAATGCAAGCACTGGCTGGGCCTTCAGCCATCCCCTGAAAAAGGAGCCAACTTACCTTCTCTGGGCCTCCTGTGTGAGAAGCACAGTTCAAAGTAAGAAATAGATACATGCACCATCCTGCTTCATAGTAGCTATTGTGTGAAGCCTTCTTTTTTATTCATATATTAATTATTAACCCTCATTGGGCACTCACTACTTCCTAGGCATTGTTTTAAGCCGATTTTGCACATAACTCAGCTAATTCTCACCACAACCCTATGAAGTGGGTACTATATTAGCCCATTTTTACAGGCAGGGAAACTGAGGCCCAGAGAAATTAACCCTTTGTATGCCATTAGCATCTATAGACGCAAGCGAGATAAAAGCATTTTTGGATGCATGGCAGTTAACTGGTTAAATTAGCCAAAGCCCGTGGTCGGCAAACTGTGGCTCATGAGTCACATGCGGCTCTTTGGCCCCTTGAGTGCGGCTGTTCCACAAAATACCATGTGCGGGCGCGCACGTACAGTGCGATTGAAACTTCCTGGCCCATGCACAGAAGTCAGTATTTTGTGGAAGAGCTGGTATTTTGTGAAAGAGCCACACTCAAGGACCCAAAGAGCCGCATGTGGCTCGCAAGCCACGGTTTGCAGAGCCGCAGTTTGCTGACCACTGGCCAAAGCCACAGAACTGGTGTCGGACCTGGATCCAAACTCAGGGTTGGTGTCAACCCTGAGGCAGTGTGCTGTGACCTCAAGTGCTGTAACTGCCACAGATGGACAAAGGGGAACTCAGATGCTTGATGGTTACCTGACAGGCAGGGGGGAAATCCAAACCTGTCCCAGATTCCTGAGGCCTCAGAATTTGCACTCACAAGCCAGGGCCACTGTCCCCATTTGAAGGTTCTGTGGAGACCCTGCAGGGTAACTCTGGAGATCACTAGAATCACCCTCTCTGTCTTAATCCCTGGAGGCCCAGAAAGGGTAACATTTCATCTGCATGGGTATCAGGACTCACTAAGCACTGCTCTTTTACATACTTCCTCATTTCAGCCTGAAACTCAAAGAAAGAGATCGCTGCTCTAAAAGCTATTCTGAATCATCAGGGCTTTAACACAAATTCACCAGAACAAATGAATAATTCCCATCATGGAAGCAGGTGGAGTACAGGGGCCCCAGGCTCACCTTGAGGGGCAGGTAGGCAGCAATGGTGATGCGGGCACTCAGGTGGATGTGGCCATGTTTGTAGCTCACCAGAAGCACAGTGTGCCCCTGGGCCTCGGCTCTTACGCTGACACCGCTGCAGTGCTCAGACCCCGGCTGCAGCCGCCCTGCAAGAAGAGAGCCAGGTAGTCACTCTGAATTTGCCTTTGTTGAAAGACCACACAGGCAGACAGTCCTTTCATCCTGGGTTCGATACACAACCTAATTTTCTAACGTAAAATTATAATTCCCATACCAAACAGTACATCGTCAGAAACATACAGTTCACAATGACCCCCCCCACAATACACACCCCCCATAAACTGAGCACACCTTGTACCCAGGACTGGGATCAAGAAACGTGACCTGTTCCCTGGAATCTCCCATGGACCCTTCGGGTCACTAGCTCCTCCCCAAAGGAGAACCACTGTACTTCTGCTGGCTTCTCTATTTTATATAAAGGGATCCACTGAGCTTACACTCCTTTGTGTCTGCCCTCTTCAACTAAGTTTGGATGGTGAGATCCCTCCTTACGTTATGCATGTTGTAGATCTTTTATCCGTATTTGTATACATGATTCTGTTGTGTGAAGAGATTTCTCCATGCTACTGCAAAGTCCTGGGCTGTTCCCGGGCAGCACAACAGCACACAGCGCTGCTGAGAACATTTATTTTGGTGCATGTTTCTTCAGGTGGACATATTTCAGCCTTTCTGTTGAGTGTGTCCCTAAGAATGCCATATGTGCACCCCTTATCCCTATTGCCTAGGATCATGTGTATGTTCAGCTTTCAACATTCCTGCCTAATACCTTTCCCAAAATGGTTGTAACAAGTTATACTATTTCTAAAGGCCATGCTATATCCCTGCCAATAGTTGGTATTTTCCACCCTTTTAAAAAAAGGCCATTCTAGTGGGAGTATAACAGAGTTCTATTGTTTTCTTTCCAAACTTTTAGAAAAAATTACATTTTGAAACCCCATATTGCCACCCCCTAGATTCTACAATTACCATTTTGCTTTATTTCTGTTATTGTATTATCTATCCATCCCCTACCCATTGACCAATTGATCTTATTTTTTTAACTATATATATTTTTATTGATTTCCAAGAGGAAGGGAGATATAGAAACATCAATGAGAAAGAATCACTGACTGGCTGCCTCCTGCACGCCCCCTACTGGGGTGGGGAGGCGGGGGGGAATCAAGCCTGCAACCCGGGCATATGCCTCTGGTTGGAGTTGAACCTGGGACCCTTCAGTCTGCAGGCTGATGCTCTATCCACTGAGCCAAACCGGCCAGGGCTAGTAATACTAGTTTTACTGAAATATAAATCACATACTGCAGAATCACCCATTTAAAATGCGCATGCAATTCTGTGGTTTTTAACATATTCATGGGGTTGTGCAACTATCGCCATTAATTTTAGAGCATTTCACCCCGAGCAAGAAACTCCATACTCATGAGCAGTCACCCTCCTCCCCTAGATCCCATCCTTGGCAACCACTGCTCTACACTCAGTCTCCACATGGACCGGTTTGCCTCACACTACACATCCACAAACTGCACTCTTCCTGTCTGGCTCGTCTCATGCAGTGTATTTTTTAAACTTGGCCATGCTGCTGCGTGATCAATGGCTTGCTTCCTTTGCATTGCTGAGAAGTTTTCCACTGCCAGGATGTCCTGCAGTCTGCTTATCCATTCACCAGTTGATCAGCATTTGGGTTCTTTCCAGTTTGGAGCAATTAGTCCAAGAGCTGCTGTGGACATCTGAGAACAATCTCCTCCACCCTTAGGACACATTTCAATGCATGCTGTTTCGCCAATGGCCACTGCTGTGTCCACCAAGAAGGGCAGGCCAGAGTCCACAGGCAGAGCTCAGAAGCTCCTGAAAACTGAAACTGCCAAATGGGCCATCTGTGTCCACATTACACAAAAACAACAGGGAAATGATGGATCTGCCTTCCAGTCAGGTACAAGGAGTCAGCACAAACGTTTATCTGGACATGACCCTGAATTATAAGTAGGGAGGTGGGCCCTTTGTAGGAAGATGCTGAAGATGGAGCCCCAAGGGGCTTACTCTGGTTCCACGGACCTGCCCTGGAAAGTGGAGGCCCACCTGCCCCAGCCTGGCAGGAGCCGGAGTGTGCCACATCCTTTCTTGTCTCTAGGCTTACAATACTCTTCCTGCTCCTTGGAATACTCTTCCCATTTCCTCCCAGCCCCATCCTTCAGGTCTCGGCCTTCCTGCACACCTCCAAACTGGTGTAGGCACTTTCTTCAAGCACATCTCTTCTGGGGAACGTGTTTAGTGGGTTCACAGCCAGGAGTGAGACAGAGCCCCCAGGACCCTTGCTCCCACACTGGCACACTGTCCCAGCACCACTCCTGCCCATTGCACCATCTGTCTTACTAGACTGTAAAGGCCATGAAGGTGAGACCACAGCTCTCATGGTAACCAGGGGACCCCAGGGCATAGCACTTGGGAAATGCTCAGTGAACAAAGGGCTAGAAATCAGCTGAGTCTGAGAACAGAGAAAGGGCTGGGGTGGGGACAAGAGCTGTGGGGTTGCCACCCCCAGAGGTCAACCTGGTCAAGCCCAATCCTGGGGGCTCTGTGAAGAAGTTCACAGTAACACCCACAACCCCAAGGGGCTCTTAAGGGGGCTTCCATGATGAGGACATGGCAGAAATGGGATCCCAGTGGCAAGTCCAGCAGGAAGAGGGTGAGGCCCCAAATTACTCAAATGCTGCTGGTAGGGGTGTTGCCTGGGATCCTGGTCGAGCCCTTTCCAAGAACCAAGGCTTGAGCTCCATCAGGTGTGTCTTAACTTGGTCAAGACCAAGGACCTGCACTTAGTAGGGGAGACAGAGAAAGAGAAGGACCCTGTTAACCTAACTGGGATCCTATCAGTCCTCATGTTTCTCTTCCATGAGCCTCCTGTGCCCTAGGGCAGGTGTCACTCAATCTACTGACCCCATCTGGTCCTGAGTCCCACGGATTTCCATGATGCCATTGCCTTTCTACCCTGACGAGGCTTCTCATGTTACCTGGGCCCTACCACAAGCCTCCACAAAGCCACATGTACTCTACATTGGGGGACACTTAAGGAGCTTTCTAAGGGAAATTTTGCTGCCACAGGACTTGTCTCCGCTGCTGTCTTCAGGACCAAACCCCGGCTCTGGGCTGAGGGACATTCATTGTAACCCTCACAGCAGGCAAGGAGCCGGTATCCCCACTTTATACATGAAGAATCCAAGGCTCAGAGAGGTTGGGCAACTCAGCCAATGTTGAAGAAGGGGTGCTCAGACCCAGGAGTGTGGAATTCCAAGGCCTGTCCTTTATTCCTGGACTTCTGGATGCTTACCCAGCGCCTGGGCTGAGCCTGCTGATTCCCTTTCAGGACACCTGTGGGGGACTGGGTGGCAGGCTTCTTCCCTGTCACCAGCGGGGCTCTCTCCCACGCACTAATGTTTTCGCCACCCTAAACTGTTGCCTCGCCAAGAACACTTAAGATCTCCCACAGCTGGTTCTCCTGGATGGTCAGAGAGGACCTGGCATAGCTTGTCCTTCCTCTGCGCAGCTCTGAGTTCACAGGGCTCCATGGGTAGCCACGCTGCGATGCTGGTGTGGAAAGCTGCTCAGCACCTCAGGCCACTCTACAAACACCTCTGCCAACTGGGCTTCCCAGACCCATCAGGATCAAGCCACACTGCTCTGCTCACAGACCGTCAGTGGCTCCCCACTGCCTGGACACTGAGGTCCAAACCCTCCAGTGCCCTCCACAATTCAGGATTCAACAAGTTCAGCCATTCCAGGTCCACTGTGTGTGCCCACATCCCTGGACATGCCCACCTCAGGAGCCCCACCCACTGAATGCTGTTTCCTGTTTCCCTGTTACTTCCACCCCTGCTCAAACCTTACTCCTTTTCAATGGCTCAATAGTCCTTGCTTTTCTTCATCTGCACATCGAAGAGGAGCTCCCTGCTGCCCCTGAGCTAATTTCCCTGAAAAGCCCACTTTTTGGAGGACTGAGGCTTCAGATCAGTATCCCAGACATACTCGGATCTGCATACCATCACACCCTGTGCCCTTTGTGACCTTGAATGGCTACACAGCTTCAGTCTCTTTATCTGACACATGGCCCAACACCAGTTCCTCCTCCTGTGATGGTTGTGAAGTCTAAGGAGGGCATACACAGAGGCTCATTTACCTGTCCCTGGCAGGGCTGACACCCTATAAATGAACAAGCTTCCACTGACACCAACACCACTGACACCACCACCCCCCAAACCCTGCATGGGGCGCTGATGGCTCTGGTGGGCTAGACCACACATGTCTCAAAGGTGTTTCGATTCTGTCCCTAACCAAATCCCCTTATCAACAGTGTATTCTGAGCATCTACTACAGTCCAGGTGCTGCAATAGGCACTGTGACATGCAATTCTATTTAGTATGATACTGCATTAGAGATGTGGAAACAGGCTGAGAGAGCACAGTGACACAATAGGTCACATGGCAGGTAAGATCCAAATCAGACCATTGCTGGTGGAGCACAAGGAGACAAATGCTATTTCTCATGCTGTGACCCCTGCTGCCTCAAGCCCTCTATTTAGGAGCCTAGAGCAGCCCATGTTGAACACAAGGCGTCAACCCACTGCTATCTGGCACCTGCTCATCCGTGCTAATTTACCTGGAAGCAGCTGGAATACGCCCTGGTTCTCCACCTCAACCACTAAGTCTAAGTGGGAGCAGTCGCTCAGAGTGACCACCTCGTTGGCCCTGCCGGGCATTAGGCCATTGATCCTTATGGGCAGCTCCAGGGTCTGGCCCACTCGTGCCTCCACTTGGCATGGGGTGAACTCCATGCTTCGGGGCTCAATCACATACACCTGGAAGACAGGGAATTGATTAGGTTATCAGGCTCCATGGGAGAGGAAAGGCCTGCTGCTCGGATTTACTAACAGTACTGTGTGCTGGGTACCAACTATATATCAGTGAGAAGACCAAGCCTGAGGGTCATGCGGGTGTGTGCTGGGGACTGAGGTAATGTTCAGGGATAGAGCTGTCAGGGAAAACCTCTCTGAAAAGGTGATGTAGGCTTAGATCTGAGAGCCACAAAAGTCTGGAGGAAAGACATTCTTGGAAAAGAGATGGTCCGAGCAAAGATCCTGAGGCATGTACCACCTCAGCACATCGGAAAAATATAAAGAAGGCAGTGTACAGGGTGAGAGAGCCATCATCAAGAACAATGAATCTTTGCCCAGCAGGTGTGGCTCAGTGGATTGAGTGTCGACCTATGAACCAGGTGGTCACAGTTCTATTCCCAGTCAGGGCATATGCCCAGGTGTAAGCTCGATCCCCAGTGTGGGGCACACAGGAGGCAGTCTATCAATGATTCTCCCATCATTGATATTTCTATCACTCTCCCTCTCCCTTCCTCTCTGAAATCAATAAAAACATTTTTTAAAAAACAACAATCTTTGTATAAACAAAACTTACCAGACTCCAGGTTTAGTTAGGAGAATATTGCTAACTCACTGACTCCTCTCAGTCTCCTTGTTAAGAAGGTTCTAATACCAACCTCAACACTTGATGAAGAAACTGGCATGGAAGGTTAAAGAACCTATCTGGGCTGAAGCATGGTGGTGTCTGGCCCAGGCAGTCCAGCCCCGAGAGCCAGGCTCTAACCATTATACACTGCCCATCAGGGAATTGTCCTCGGCTTTTGGCTGAGTAACTGTGCGGAAGGTGGCACATTTACTGAGATGAAGAAGCTTGGGAGATGGGGAGGGGCAAGGTGGTTAGAGTTTATCTAAATATTTCACAATTATGCTGTAGCTAAAGGGTCTCCATTACAACCCTCTTCATATGAAACTTAGATAAATTTTAAGGTAGGGATGTGTGTGTTTGTGTGACAATAAAAAGACAAAATAGCCTATCAACAATATCCCAAATAATATAAGAGAAGATCAGTATTAGACACATCATGAATGGACCTTCAATTTCTGCCCTAAGTGAAGTAATGAAAGGGTCAGGGAGGAAGGAAAGAAGTGGGGTCAGGAGGCCACCAGGCTCAGCTGCAGATGACCACTCTCACCTGTGGCCTTTGCTGAGTGACTTGATCCCACATCACTTGGGGTCAAAAGCCAGGTGTGGAGCCTTGGGAAAGGGGACTCCTGTCTGTATCTGAACAAGAAGCAGAGCAGAGGCTGGGCCGGGTCTCCTGGAGTCCTGGGCTTTCCTTTCACTGGGCACTTACAACCTGACAGCGACCCTTCCAATTTGGAGAGTTGTATGTTTTAGGTCTGGCAAATGTTCTAGAATGACTCATTTGGTTATCTCCTGTGTTCTGTGTTCTCTGGTCTCCACTCGAAAAACTCCAGCTATGTTGACCCTGGCCCTTCTGGTCCCATCCCCTGCCTGGTGTGGGATGCCATTCCCATCTCCCTGATGCAGCTGGGAGCTCCTCAAGGGCAGGGGTAGGGCCTGATCCACTACCACTTCACCTGTTGCCAACACTAAGTATAAGACCAAGGGCTAAAGGGTGATTCTGAATTAAGCCTGAGGCCTAGACATCACCCCCTGGGCTGTCCTGGCCCCTGAGGTCTCACCTTCATCTCCCCAAAATGGAGCGGGTTCTGAACATCATGAGCCTGGATCACACTGAGTCCCATGTCACTGCCTGTGGTCATCAGACCCTTGACAGTGACTGTGGCAACCACGTAGTTTGATGAAGACCAACTGAAGTTCCCACTCCCGCCATGGGCCTAGGGGAAAAAAATCATCATCTAATCAGTACACCCGCATGGCCTCTCTCTGCTTCACACACACCCACTCACATTCACCCCCACTCACACCTACTCACACTCACAGGTCAGTGTCCCCCACTGCAAGGAAAAACATGTCATCCACCCCATGCCTGACTAGAGGCTGACTCCACGCCTCGCTCTCTCCACTCTACCCCGGTCTAATCCTCACATTCTAGGGACCTTGTGGCTGACATACACATACCCACATGTCCATGACAGTGGTCCCAGAGCCCAGGGGTACCCCCCAGAGCCCAGGCTGGAATGGATGGACCCTAGGCCATGGGGCCCGGTGCAGGATGCTGCCTCTGACCAGACACAAGGCTCCCTCCCAGCACACACCCCTGCCCACTCCTAGCCATCTGCCATAAAGTAAACAACAGTCCGACAGCTCCCAAGAACAGGGGCCACCACCTTAGAACCCAAGAGGGGCCAGGACGGTGACACACCTGGCAGTGGGCACCAGTGCACAGACAGGACACCTGCCATCACTGCCAGGGAGGTGGGGACTGATAGGGAACATGCTGCCCTCAAGGGCTCAAAAGGCCCAAAGGAATCAATCAGTCCATGCTGACAAATGCCCAAAGAACACTTGGTAAATAACAGGGTTGGAGACATTTTCTCTTACATTTCAATTTTTTCTCTACAAATATTTACACTGCTTTGGGAAAACAATTTTTTTACAAAAACAAATGTATGTGGCCTTGGCCAGGTAGCTCAGTTGGTTAAAACATTGTCTCAATACATTAAGGTTGTAGGTTCGATCCCTGGTCAGGGCACATACAAGAATCAACCAATGAATGCATAAATAAACAACAAATCAATGTTTCTGTCTTTTCTTCATTCTTCTTCCCTTCCTCTCTTTCTAAAATCAATAATTTAAAAAAAACACCAAATGCATATGGAAGTTATATCGGTATTCCAGGTTTTCTTTATTTTGCTTTACTTTCTATTTTTCAGGGTTTTTTTTTTCCTGATTATCAAAATTTACAGCTGTGATAGAAACCTCAGAAATAAAGAATAAAGACTCTCTGATTTCAAATTCTCTCCAGCCCCTAGAACACAACCTAGAAGATAATATGAGATGAAACACAATGTCCTAAAAGTCTCAATCCCATGGAAACGCCCAAAGGAGTGCAGCCAGACTTGGGGCTCCCAGTTACCTTGATCACGTACTGATAGGCGCCTGTCTTTGGTTGCCACGGAAACGTCAAGATGCTGGGATAGAGGGTGATGGGGATGTGAATTTCCACCTCCTGCTGGTTCCACACAGGCACTTGTAACATGTGGACCCCTCCATCCTACAAGGGGATGAAGGTGCCCCACATCACCAGACAACCAGGTTGCAGCAGTTTTCCCAGTCAAGCAGACCCCTATCCCTCCCTGGGGATCAGACACGAAGGGGGAGTGGGAAGGAAATGCCAGATAACCTGCAGCCTCTCCATCTCCTTGGAGATGGCTTTGTGTGGCTCTATAATGTCCACTGAAGTAAATGCTGCTTGACTTCATCCTCAGGGACCCCCTGACAGAATGGATGTGGGTATCCCCACTTGACAATGGGAAAACTGAGGTGTGGTATGCTAAAGCAACTCGCCCAAAGCCCAAAGGGAAGATTTGGGTAGGAATTGCAGTGTGGTTGACATGCCATTTCTTTCTACTGCCTCTTAGAGGTTGGTGCAGGGTAGGCAGATGAGAACAGTCATGCCAATGTTCCCATCAGTAAAGAATTACTCCCACCTAAAACTGATTGGCCTTTTAAGTACAGGAAAAAATGAAAAGACTTTGAAGCTGGGGAGAGATTAACCAAAAAACGTATATGCATATATTCATAGCCCATGGACACAAACAATAGTACCATGAAGGTCTTGGGGTTGGGGGAGGGGGGAGGTTGAGGGGTGGAGGAGATCAACAGGAAAAAGGGGACATCTGTAATACTCTCAATGATAAAGATAAATTTAAAAAATATGTATATGTAAAAACTTTAAAAATAAAAGAGACTTTGAAGGACCCACAGCCAAAACAGCCAAAGGGATGCTGGTGGCTCCTGGTTGGTGCAGCTGGATGCAGGGGCCCAACACTGTTCCTCAGCAAGAGTTCTGGCCTCTTCCCAAAGGTGCAGGCTCACTCTTACAGGGGCTGGCAGAGGAGAGGGCCTCTGGCCTGGTGAGGACAGGTGACAGGAAGAGCCCAAAGCCGCCCCAGACATCCTTTGTGAGGCCAGAGAGAGAGGGACCCTCAAGGAACCTGTGAGAGGAACACACAGGCCGAACTTGGGTCTCTGACTCCCCAGGGCTCCCATCCAGCCTGGGTGAACACTTCTGCCTGTGGGGCACAGAAGGTGGACATGGGGCGCCGACTTACCTGATCTACCACGGAGGTGAGGGATGCCTCCACAGCCGTCTGGCCTCTCTTTATTGGCCTGACCTGATGGGATGACCCATTCTTTGAAGAAGAGAGCACCTCAAAGAACTCAGAGGGAAGTGCAGTTTCAATGCGGATGTTCTGGAAGGCGAGGCAGGGTGGGTGAGAGGTGCTTCTCAGACAACCCAGGAAAGTCAGATGCAGGCCAGAAGCCATGTGACCTGAAAGCAGCAGTCAGGCCAAGCGAAGGGCCCTGAGGCTCGCAGGCCTCCAAAAGCCAGCAGACAAGCTGGACAAAGCCCACGCTGGCCTTGACCCCTCCCAGGCTTCCCTCCCTGCCTGACCTGATGACCCAGTGCTCCTGCTATAGTTACCCCGTGGGGCTACTGGGAGCGAAAAGCCTGCAGTCAGCTTTCATAGGTCCTGAGGTCCCAGCAAGGACACCACCAAATACAGTAAAGGACATTGAAACCCTTATAGCTAATCACAGCTGGCAGACACCACCTCCTCACCACCACTTCCTCAACCCTGCTGCCTGCAGCCTCCTCTCCCGCCCAGCTCTGTGGGAGTGAGTCTGTGGGGTGCAGATGTACAGGTGTACTGGTCCTTGAGATGCCCCAGGGATCCCACACAGTGCCTCCTGTAGGCCTAACAGTACCACTAGGAAGTTCCTGAACTCAGCCTGCCTGTATGGGGATCCCTGTTCTTTGCGGGCAGCTCATTTAGAAGCTATCCCACCTCCCCATCCCTGCCCCCATCCCTACCCCAGGACCCTAGGCAGGCACTCACATCTGATGGGTAGACCTTGTTGCCAGACTTATCAAGCACGTCAATGGTAATTTCATATACGCGTCCAGTCTCCAGCACCCACCTGTCACCAGGGTGGACTGTGAACCCTGTAAGAAAGGCAAGTGGCAGCATCTGATGACTCAGGCCACAGGGACATACAGGATAGGACCAAGCACCATTAGCACGAGGGCCCACACTGCTTACCTGGAGGCCCCACAACCACCTATCTGGAAGGGCCCAGACCACTTACCTGAAGAGACATACAAATGCTCAACTTAAAGGTACCTACAACCACTCACCTGGACGACTCACATCTACTTACCTGGAGGGCCCACAACTATCTACTTGGAAGGGCTTAGACCACTCAATTGGAGAGACCTATAACTGCTCACTGGAAGGGCCCCATAGCACTCACCTAGATAGCCCACAACCGCTCACCTATATTCCTCCATGGAAAAAGTCCAGCTGTTAATGACTGTGGGATCTGATGCTGGGCTTCAGCTCTGAGCCCTACAAACCTGAACTGATCTCTAAGATTCCCCAAGACAATCCCACACTTGACTGCTCAGTACTCACTCAAACTTGACCCTGTCCATAGTAAGTCAAAAATCCCATACTGATATATACTCTGAATACACAGTAGGCCCACTCTGAATCCATGTGAGTCTATACTCTGAACCCATAGTAGGTCTATGCTCTGATACCACAGGGGGTCTACAGTCTGAATCCACAGTAAGGCTATACTCTGACTCCACAGTGAGGCTATACGCTGACTCCACAGCGAGGCTATACCCTGAATCTACAGTAGGTATATGCTCTGAATCCACAGTGGGTCTACACTCTGAGTCCACGGTGAGGCTATACTCTGAGTCTACCCTAGGGCTGCACTCTGAACCCACATTGTATCTACATTCTAAATGCACAGGTTTGCGTGAGGCCTGGCACTGGGTACGCTCCCCGAGTGAGCCTGCACTGCTTCCAGGTCCCCTGCTTTGTTCCCACTATAGATGCCACACCAGCTGCCTGCTGCCCCCTGTAATGCTATGTGCTTTCTCACCTCCACACCATTACCCATGCTGCTCTCTGAACCATGATGACCCACCAGCAAAAGCAGCTTCTTAGAAAAGGCCTGCCTCAATTAGCATATCCCTGAAGCCTTTCTCTGCACTCTCATTAACCCTCCCAGCTGTCCTGTCACTGCCTGCTGTGCTGGCCTCTCCCCACAACACCAAGCACCAAGAATCCTGTCTGCCTTCTGGAATACCCTGCCCAGCATAGACGAGACAGCTGGGAGATGCCAAGGAGGCATTTGTAAGTAAGTGGAGCTCCTAAGACATGCAGGGCCATCCTGCCTGGTGTCACCATATCATCCACAGAGGTCTGCACCAAACAGCAATCTGACATGGCAGCACACAAGAAAACTTTGGGGTTGCTGCACCATGTCACTGCACTCAACAGGTGAGCAAACCCAGACCAAAAGAAGTGTTGCGTTGGTGACCCGGAGTGTCCTGGACGCATCTCAAGTCCTCATCTGTCATGGCAGCTCCCAGGCACTGGCTGTACCCATGGCTATGGGTTCCTCCCCTCCTCCTGACAAAAGTCTCCCCTTCCTCCCCAAGGAGACATCTACCAACTATCATGGTACCTCAGGGGCCCTTCTCACCTCCAAATGTCCATGGCCATCATCAGGTCTGGACAGAGCCCTGCTATGAAAGCCAGCAAGAGACAAAGCCCTTCCCCACTCTACCCTATCCCATTTCTCTCCCTGACGAGCTGGCCACCTCCCTGACCCCATCTAGCCTCTGACAGATTCTGGGTTCGGACAGGGGAAGGACTGAGGAGCAGCCCGGGCAAGGGCAGGTGGGTGCTGATGGCCCCAGGCCTCCCAGCTGGTCGAGCTGGTCAGAGTGAAGCATCCTCTGGGGAGTTGTTACTTTTATTTTATTTTCCTAACTCATATAATAAAAAAGAACAGCATCCAGGACCTAGGATGCCCACACTCACCCAAGTATCCGGGTTCCACCACGTAGATGGTGCTGTTAGGTAACCTGGAAGCACCCTGCATACGGATGCCTGAATTCCTCATTAAGGAACAAAACATAAGGTGGTAAGTAAACCAGCTGGCAGGCTTCAGCATGGGTAGGACGGCTCCCATCACCCACCACATGGACAGAGGAGGGAGGGAAACTTCCCTGCCTGGTGTCAAGTGGGGCAGAGCCGTTTCCAGAATCAGAGCCACTCTGTGCTTCCTACACCAGCAAAGGGGGTCTCTGCAGAGGACACTGGAGGCACACAGACACCCCAACAAGTCTGAGACAAGGGATGACACCATTGTGGAAACAGCTTCAGCCAGCCCCTTAGAAGAGATCGCAGGCATTCTGGAGTTAGGAGTGAGGCTCCAGGCCCACAACCAGCTCCCATGCGGGAGCTTCTCCAGTGAGTCACCCACAGAGGTGAGCAATCTTTCTGATTTTCAGACCTTGAGGGAAAACAGGTCTATTTTTAGCCTAGCCCAGCTTCCCCTTCCAAACAGCAGATCCCCTGAGCATAGGACATGCATCGGGCATGCTGGTCTGAGGAAAGGATAATCCCCGCACTGAGGACTTGCATGGGGCGTGCCGGCCCGAGGAAAGGATACTCTTGTAGGCCAGGACCAGGCTGCTCTGTCCCAGCTGCACGGCAGTGACCGTCGTTGTGTCCTGAGCCAAGACAGCCACAGGCCGGCTGGGGTCTCCCGTAGGGCCCTGGATGTGGTCTTGAAGCTGCAGTTGGTACTGATCTGAAGGCATTGAGAGTTCTGGCCACCGAAACCCAAAGAGAGCCAGGTGGGAGAGAGGGAGCGAGAAGATAGAAAACGTCAGGAGCCAATGTGTCAACCGCACCCTGAATCCCTGCTGCCAGTACAGCTACATGATATTTTTTTGCTTATTTTTTTTTAGTATTATTTCCCATGCCTGTGGAGAAAGCTGACACTCTTCATGAATCCTAGAGGCAATCAGCTTTTTGAGGCTGCCAAATGCTGCTTTTTAAAATTTAGCACAGCCTCTGTCACAGGGCCTCCTGCTTGCGGAGTATCAAGGCCCTTTTGTGTTCACTGCAGAAGTGCACTCTGCTGCACCGAGAGTCCGGATGGGGCTCCCTGGGCTGGGTATCCTCTGAAAGTTTCCAGAAAAGGTGCCGGTCCGTGGTGTGCCACATGCTTTGGGGAGCTGAGTCTAGAATATGCAAAGAATCTTCTCTGTTGCTAATCCTGACCATCATCAATACTTCCCTGCTCCATGCTGTGTTGTGGAGAGAACAAGCTCAGTGGGGCCAGGATGAAAACAATTTCCCTGGGAAATAACAGCTGACAGAACCTACCCTCTCTGTCAATCTCCTGCACAAGCCCTTTTGATCTAAGTGGCTACTGCTGACCAGGAAACCAAGATGGTGTGGGACTGAGCCAACGTTCTCCTAGTATGTGCACATTACCCTATGTTGTCCCTCAGCAACCCTTGAAATAGGCACTCCCAATGCCTGTATCTCGAGATGGGAGTGCTGTGGAAATGAGTGCTGTGGAAATGAAATGAGAAGCTTGGGAGTGGTCCCACAGACCTGGGACTGAGACCACCGAGTCTCGAGTCTCGCCACTCTGACACGCCCTCTTCGCCAGTTTCCTGTCAAGTAACCCACTCACCAAGGCCAGCAGGAGTGGCCATGTTTCAGCCATCCAGCAAGAGATGAAAGAGGCCATAGAGAATGCAGGACAACTTCCCTGCTCAGCCCTGGGAGAAATTTCAGCTGGAGCAGCCTTCAGAATGAATCTGAAGGAAGGCCACTTGCCCATTTCCTGTACTGGGGAATCTTTTGTGTGTTCTGGCTAGTCCCCAAGATTCTACCCTAGAGCAGAGGGTTCTCAACGTGTGGTCCCTGGACCAGCAGCCTTACCTGGGAACCTCACATAGTGGGCCCCTGGGGATGGGGATCTGCTGAAGCAAACTCAGGGGTGGCCCCAGTGCTGTGAACAGGCCCGCCAGGTGATTCTGGCCTAGGGCTGAGTCACTTAAAGTGCATATACTGCTCATTTCCTTGCCTCTAACTGGGGAGTCCGGCAGCGCTGTTGTGATTTGAGCGGACTATGCACCAGTGTTCAGCATGTGGCCACAGTGTGTCACGGATGCAGGTCATAGTAAAATTAGATGGTGCCACTGCTCACTCAGTAGGGCAGCTTTCCTTTATGCTGCTTTATGAAGCACTAGCTGCCTCCCTGTCTAAAATTCCCCAAATGAATATACTGACTCTCGAGGGACCTTGCACAACTCAGACATAACTACCGTATTTGCCGGCGTATAAGACGACTGGGCGTATAAGACGACCCCCTAACATTTCCACTCAAAAGACAGAGTTTGTTATATACTGGCCGTATAAGACTACCCCCTCTTCCGCACACCTTCCACACACCAAATAAAAGGTAAAACAATATCAGATTTGATTTTAACATTTTAATTTATATTCAAATGCTTATGACATGCAGGAAAACTGTCACAAGGCTGTATGTAATCAAACATATACATAAAACAGTGCAAGTTTATTACCGGTAAACATACCGGTAATTCACTAAAGAAAACACACTCTATAGACTGGTACCATAGATGCTTCTCAGGAACACAGGCAAGCAGCCCACAACCTAGAGGGACTGTCAATGATAGAAGTAAGAT